AATCCAAAAGTAGACTAAAACCTGCAATCCCCTGGCTCCTAAATGTGCGAGCCACACCCCTCGAATTTCTACCGTTCGCACTGTCCCTTTCAAACGCCAAACAAATACATGAGATAAGCCCCTCATCCGCACACACGTAGTGGTTTCAAACTCTGTGACGTTCCAACTCAATTGAGAGACGGGAGGTCAAACAGGTCTCTGGACGCAGCAGGCTTTGTGTCACATACATGTTCTATTTGTTTCCGGAGAGAATCATGTGCCAACCCCCCCCCCCCGGCCTTTCTCGTTGTCCAAATGTTTTTATTTTTTAAAGGACCACCGGGTCGGTACTCCCTGTAAATTGAGTCCACATCGTCCTGAAAAAAGGAGCGCATCCTCGCAAAACCTCCAAAAAAATGACCTTTTTTCACCACCCCACAGGAGACGCATCCCTCGCCTCCCCCCCAAAAAAACACAAACCGAGGAAGTCAATTCCCTCGCCCGCGCGCCCCCCCGCGCCGAAAACAAATCCTCGCGAGCCGCAGGCGCCGCGCGCCTCGGTGCGCAGGCTCTCCAGCAGCTTCGGCAAGCCTCGGCCCAGCAGCGAGTCCAGCTCCTCCGAAAGCTCCTGGCCGGTCCAGCGGTGCAGCCGAGGGGACCGAACGGCAACTTTCTCTACACATAGGAACCCAAGCAACAGGTTTCCCACAAGGGAACTCCGCAAATTTGCAAAAAAGATGGGGGGTTTGGGTTGCATGAAAATCAGTCTGAACTTCAAAGTGAGTTCGGCCAGAGCCCCAGGCGGATTCTAAACCATGACTTGAGACCTCTCAGCTCCAGCGCCGCTCACTAACACAGCAGTCCATGGATAAGTGCTATGAAACGCGAGTACTTTCATATGGATAGTCAAACTGGTGTATCCTCAAAAAAGACACACCCCTCTGTGCATATATATATATATTATATATATATATATATATATGGTCCAGTGTCTATGGTCCCCCCCCCATACCATGGGGGGCTGTAGTCACTGGTCACCATATATACATGCCCCTGCCCCCCCACCCATGTCATGGGACCGCCCCTTGTGGGGTTGTGGGGTTGGTCTCGCGGGGATGCTCCCGGGATGCTGGGCTGGCCGGGGGCGGGCATACCATGGGGGAGGGGGGGCTATAGCCAACTGGGACCGGGAACATTTATATATATATATAACGAATATGTACATATATATATATATATATACATGCCTGGACACAAACTACCCATAAAAAAGGGGGAATCGCCAACCATACTAGGTAGATAACAGAGAATGGTTGTTTCCTTTCATATCGCGGATGGGCGAAATCCATTTTGCACCAGATTCAGAAAGCCGTTTTTGCTGATTCCCCTCTAAATACCAACGAACGTTAGGGTTTCAACCATGGGTTCATTTCGTGGCGCGAAGTGGATTTCGCACCCATCCACAGCATGTCCTCTTACAGCACCTGGTTGAAAACCAACTCCAAAGTTGGGTCCTGAAGGTGAATTATTTTGAACCGAAGTCATCAGTCCAAACGGTTTGGATGCGCTTTCGCCAGACCCAAACCGTTTTCTGGAATGGAGTGTCGTCACACCGTTCAGAAACCCTGGTTTCGGACAATTCGCCTGGAAAATACCGGCAAACCTTCTGGAATTGTTCAACTCCATGGTTTCTCATTTCGTTGCAGCCTGTAAATACCAGCAAAAACTCAATGTGGAATGCCAAGGGAACCATTTGGGTGTGGCTCAAAATTGAGAAGAGCTCGGGCTACGCAGGTTTTCGTACTCCCCTTTACAAAGGCAACATTTTGGGTTCCATGTTTTTAAGCCACGGGAACCATTCCGCAATCATCCCAGACCGCCTTCAAATGGGCGTGGGTCAAACATAGGGTAACCCCAAAATGGGTTGCCCTAGTAAATGCAAACAATGACTAAAAGCCTGCGGTTTGCTGGTTCAATTTCTTTGAGGCGAAGGCTATCTTTGTGTTGCTTGGGGTGGGGAAAAAAAGGTGGAAACCGCCGGGAGAACCGGCCTCCTATTTGGCCAGGGCTGTGGGGAATGACCACTTCTGTGATTGGAAAGGGCTTCCCAAAGACTGTTTTCTTCATATAACGGGGGATTTCCTGGTATCACAGAGGTGGAGACTGCCCCGGGTGATCAACCACAACCCTTGGGCGCATAGCCCCAGTCGCTCGGCTCGCTCGGGCTCCGGGCCGCTTCGCGCTCCTGGATCTGCTGGGACGTGGCGGCCACCAGCTCCCGCACCGCCGCGAGGTGCATCTGCCTCTCTCGTTTTGGGTTGGACGTCCGAGATGGAAGTCTGTGGCTCCAAAAGCCGGTAAAATGGAAGAGCCTGGGCAGTGGGAACATGGGTACCAAGACCTGCGAGTTGCCCCTCCTGCTTAAAAACTCGAGCCACACCCAAATGGGCCCTTTTGGCTTCCCGTGTGCAAACCACCGAAAAGTGGCGGCCACCCTTCAAAAAAAAACACACCCACAAACTGCTGGTTGCCCCTAACAAAGGGTCTTTCCCCCAAAATAAAGGCCAGGAAGTCAGGGAGGAAGTGAACATGGGTCACCGCAGGTGAGGTTAAACCCGAAGATTGGATGTCTGATCCCAGCGCAACTCAGGGCTAAGGACATCCCTCAGGGCAGTGGTTTCTCAGGCTGAACTCGCATCAAATCCTGGGGCCGCGGCTGCTGCTTGTAGAGCTCGCGGAAGAGAAGCGCGCACCTCGCATCCAGCACTCCTCGCGCAACCGCGGCCAAGCGACCTCCCGAGCCTCGAAGATGTTTCGGAAGGGAACCAAACTTCACCATCCAAAGGCTTCGGATGTCTAAACCTGCTTTCTTAACCCTCAAGTGTGGGTGCTCGTCTTTTTTAGGGTACCCCCCCCCCCCCCGAAATGATGTCCAAACCATTCTTCTTGACCCTAACATGCGGGTGGCGAAGTCTTTCTTACCCCCCAAAAAGGGGGAGAACGGTTGTCCTTCGAAGGTGTTCCTTTACCGCCATTTTCCGGGGTCCCCGAAAAGACGAGACCATGTGTTCCTTCAACAGATCCCTCGTGGACACCACCTTCTCGCTGTCCTGTTCCCTCTTGAAATGGGTGTGGGTCAAAATAGGTACCCAAAATGGAGCCCTGGTCAATGGAAAAAAAGACTAAAACCAGCGGTCCTCTGGTGGTTTAATTTTGACCCTCACCCAATGTGCATTTCTTGGGCCAGGTGTTGGGTCAAAAGCTTTGCTGGCAATCGAAGCTGCCAGCCGACAGCCAACGAGCTCCGGTCGCATCGGGGCTTGTCTCAATATAGGGGTCGGACGCCTCAAAACGGCGCTCGGCTTCTTTTTGGCTTCCTCCAACCAAAAAATGTGGCCTCCAAACTCCGGGCCTTCCAAAAGATCTTGCCGTCCCCTTCGCTTTCCCCCTTCCCCTCTCCGACCCGACCACCCGACCGCCTCGGTTTCGGCCGCCCGACCGAAACGGCTCGGTCCTTTCTCCGTGAAGAGGGGGGGCACGCCCTTCGGCTGCAAGCTCCTGGAGATCGCCACAAGCTTCAGCTGCAGCTCCTCTCGACTCTCGCCGTCGAACACATCCCGGCGGGGGCAACGAACCTTTGCCAAAAAAGAAGACGACGCGGCGCAGAACAGGCGGCTCGCTTTTAAAAAGGATGCAAAAGGGAAAACCACCGTGCTTTCTTAAGGCGTTTTTTCTTCCCCAGTTTCAGACGTGGTGCTATTCTTGTGGAGGTTGGTTTAAAGGGCAAGGAAAAGGAAAACCATCGATTTGCTTAGGGGTTGACCCCAAGACACACGTGGAAGGAAGGAATGGACCACACCATAGCCTGACCCAAAATGGTGGGCTTCCTTTTAAGGGCCACATCTCAAACAACAAAAAACACAAACTCAACAAAAGACACCTCCCATGTGCAAGTCAAAGCCGGCAACTACTTATGGCGATGCAATCTGGACTCAGCTGCGCATGTTGCAGTACCGTGCGCCAACCTCAGTCATGCTCCGCTGTAACAGGGAACCCGTTTTTGAGCCGTGACATCAAACAAAACCAATCAACATCTGGAATATCATTTGGGGATTCATGTCCGCCACTTGTGAGGTGGTTCCAACTCTTAACATTTCATATTGGGAGCCCTAGCCCGAGAAACGTTCCAACTCTCGAAATTCCGTATTGGGAGCTACAGTAGCCTTGCAAGAGAGCCAATAGAAGGATGGCTGCAAGGTGTACCACAACAAATAGCCCATAAAATGCATCATTCTATTCCTTTTCTATGTCTTTGAATCCTTACGCAGTATTTGAATCGACTCCTTGAATAGAAAATTGCCTCTATTTCTCAGGGGATCCTTACATTACACACCTGAACATTGCCTTGTCAATGGTGGTGTCCCCTTATTTTGGTGGAAAAAAAACAAAAAAACATGTTTCAAACGGTTGCAAGATGGAGATCTTTTCAGGAGCCCTGTTTCTGTTGAAGCCTTTTCCACCCTTTCCCCCGGGCGAAACCCGAAGACCCCCCCCCCACCCCCTCCGTGCGGCGCTTCTCCGCTTGGAGGCGCTTGTGCCGGGCCGTGGCGAAACTGGTCCTCGGGCCGCTGGGGTCGCTGAATTCGCTGCCTGGTGGGGAGGGCCCTCTCGCGATATTGGAGCGACATTTCATATCGGAACATTTCATATCGGAAATCACCGGGGTGTTCAGAATTCCAAGAGAAACTGAGATGGGAGTTTCTAAATGACATGGGCAAGTCTGCCAGCATGGGCCTAGAGAAACGAGGTCACAACTCTCAAACGAAGGCCTCCAGTGACACATTCTGCCGCCCGCCTGGACCCGTCCAGGCGCTTCCGCCTCATGGCCTCCAGTTGCTCCTGCATGGTCTGCGCCTGCGCGACCCAGCCCGCGACCCAGCCCGACCGACCACCAACCGCCGCCCAACCCGCGCGCTACGCCCCGAAGGCACGCCGCCGCGAAACGCCGCCGCGTCTTTTTCGTTGTCGGCCAAATCTTTTGGCATCCACACGTGTGGCTCACAGCTCCAGCTTGGATGTGTCGCCCACCTTGAGGCGTGAAGATGGGAAGGAGAACTCGAGCAACAAGATCGGCCATTTAAGATCACAAAGAGAACCCTGATCGCATATGGCTCATCTTCTTTTGAGGTTGGTTCCCTTTTTGTGGTTTCAAGGAGAAACCAACCAAAAACACAATTCTGGGGGGGATCCCTAGGAAAAAAACGAGCCACCCTATATGTTACAAGGGAAACCAAACCCGTCGGATAGTTTCCTTAAGCATTCTTTTTTTGGGGGGTGCAACCTAACAAATTGACGCGCCCATGCAACGGTGAAGGCCGGGGACTTGGATCCATTGCCAGGCGGCATCCACTGGCGCGTCCAAGGGCTGCCAGTATTGACCTCGCTAGCCCGTGCCCGAAACTCCGGAGAAGACGAGGATTCCAGAATATTTATAAATACATATATATATATATATAAATAAATATAATAACATGTTGTCGATACATGTATATATATATATATATGTTTGCATGTATGCATATGCAATCCACATATGCGGTAGTGTATATATATATATACACACGTAGTTGTATATATATATACACGTATTTATGTATATACATGTATGTTATTCAAATAATAGATAACTTAATGTATAACTTTCTCCAGGACTTGAGAGATCCATGTCTCATGGTCCAAGATTCGGCTCTAAACTCAAGCAGGGACTACCGAACAACGTTGCGGCGCCATCCAAGCTTGGAAGGAGCTTGGCGCTTTGACCCCTAACGACTAACAGTACTCCTTATTCCCCGCGAAGTCCTTGAAGCATCCCAATCCCCCAATCCCCCAATCCCCCAATCCCCCAATCCCCCAATCCCCCAATCCCCCAATCCCCCAATCCCCCAATCCCCCAATCCCCCAATCCCCCAATCCCCCAATCCCCCAATCCCCCCCGCACCAAACAGTTCGGTCCGGTTCACAACAACGCAGCCGTCTCTCGCGCGCCGAGCGGCCCAGCTTGCCCTGCATCGCGCTGAGCGCGCGCATCTCCTCCTCGGAGAGCTCCACATCGAAGACCCCGAGGTTCTCCTCGATGCGGTGCCTTGGCGTCGAAGAAAGGCAGGCGAGGGAGCTTAAGCCCTCTGAAAAAAAACAGATATTTCCAGTAGTGGTAGATTCCCTTTAAAACTAACACGGGAAATATTAAAAAATGTTCTTTCGCAAATGGAGGCTTGCCGAAGCCTCCGATTTTCCGGAGGCCGCTGGTTTTCACATGACATGCCATCGAGTCTTCGACATGTTGCTAGGTGAAATCCGACCCATTTCACATGTGTTCAGGGTGATGGTTTAGCAAGAAGTAGCATGGGTTGGCACGGCTTGGCAGGTATGCTGGCGAGGCATCCAAGGCATGCTTGCACAAAAAGTACGACCTTATTCAACATTTACAGCTGCACTCTTTAGTACGCATCACAGAGCTGCCTCCTAATCCAAACTGCCATTGCTCGAGTTGTTTATGCGTTTGGAGTATGGAAGCGGATGGTAAGATTCTTGGCCATGGGTAATGGGGTATGGCCCATGCTCCTGGCCAATGGTTTACGCATCGCATCCTCCAACATGGTCTGCTTTACCAGCGGTTAAGACACACAATCTAATCTCCTGCGGGCTGATTCAAGTTGTTGAAGGACCTTGCCTCGAACAGTAACTCATCCTAGACCACGAAATCACAAACAGGTTTTTTCTGAAGTCAAAACAATCCGACGATACTGAGAACCATCTGGACGAGTTGATTCATCCCTTGGCACCACCCCGCGGCTTCCGGTCCGAAACACTTCTTCACGCTCTTGGGGATCACCTCACGGGCGCCGGAGGCTGCGCGAACCGAAGGCCGCCGCGTGCTGAAGTTCATCCGCCATGGTCATGTGATATGTATAACCCCGGGGGGATATGCTACGGTTTCACTGCAAATAGGGGAGAGAAATACAACTCTGCAGGCACACCTTGTCTCGAGTACATGAGCGACTATGCCTGCCACGCCTCCCCGCTATTTATACATAGACATGTATTTAACATGCGTCTGTATACAGTATATCATATGCGATAAACCAAGGAGCTCCCCGAATTTTGTGTCCTTTCGGTGGGTATTGTTGGTTTCTATCCAACACCAGGCCCCTGTCTGGTAGTCGACCGTTGCTGGCCCGCGGGCACAAAAAAAGAGAGTCAAAGAGAGAGAGAGAGAGAGAGAGAGAGAGAGAGAGAGAGAGAGAGAGAGAGAGAGAGAGAGAGAGAGAGAGAGAGAGAGAGAGAGAGAGAGCAGCTTCAGCCACCTCCGCCAATAAGAAATCGAATAACTCCCAAGAGGCAATTCCCTAACCTTTTGACCACAGCTGACAATCATAAGTATTGACCGTTGCTCACATGCGCACATGGGTCTGGATTTTTTGAGGATACCCCTTTTGGGTTTTGCAAAGGGAAACCAAAGGGACATGCCCTTTGCGCCAAATTCAAGAGATGAGCCCATCTCAAAATTCGTCTGCAGATCGACTCGACTCGAGCCGCGCCTGGAAACCCATCTGCAACGCCCAGCGCAGCAGCACCTGGGCGCTGCTGGCGCCCTTGGCCTGGGCCACTCCTGCCACCTCGGGCCGCTCCAGGAACTCGGACCTTCCTCGGACATTCGACTGGTGGCGCGTGTCTTCTTTATTCCCTGCACTCGGGGGCTCTTATGGCAAGAGTGAACGGCCGGGGTAGATCAGGGTGCTCTTTTTGGGCGGCGCTTGTCGGCTGCGCAGGCTCGCGCGAGGTGCCTGGGCGAATTTCGTGTCCTTCGGGTGTGTGTGGTCGCGCAGTGCTATTTTTAGCACCACGACAACCCTCCGCGGACTTAGGATGAGTTGAGCCGCCGTCTCTGTGAGGAGGTGCACATCTTGAAAACATGCGCAGCCGTCTGCGGACTTTGTGTGGGTCGGATCACTGAAGATATTTTTGTAGTGCTTTCTCGCGCTGGTCCTATATAGGGATCCTTTGCAAAGCCCTTGCACAGGACCTGAAAATGTTCCCTCCAATGTTGTAGAGGATGCTTCTCTGCAGATCTTGAACACAGCAAGGATGTACAAATGGTTCTCTCGTAAATCCAGAACACAAATCTTGCCAAGACACCCTACCCAGACAGGGACCCTCTCAAGGATTCTGTGTCCGAAAATCTTGCCAAGAGATCCTGCCCACAAAAAATGCGCACAGATCTTGCCAAAAGCTTTCAACAGATCTTGCGCAGAGATCCGCTAAGAATCCAAAGATATCTTGCCAAAAGGTCCTTCAAAGGACCCCTCCCAAAAGGTCTTGCGCACTGCTCATGTGGGGTGCGCTCCCTACTCGTCTGAGATATCCTGCGCACGAATCTTGCCGGGAGATCCTGTGCAGAGATCCTGCAAAGATCCGACACAAATATCCTCTCGACAGATCTCGCGCAGGCCTGCCAAGGTTTCATGTCGATACATCTTGTAGAGGATGCTCTCTACCGATCCTGAAGAGGGAGCTTGTAGGGGTCCTCTCGGATCCTTCCACAGATCCTGCAAAGATCCTTCCACCGAGATCTTGCCCAGGAACTTCTACAGAAAGTAGAACTTTTGTTCAGAGGAATCTTGCGCAGAACCTCTTTCCGCAGGAGATCTTCTCAAGGAGCTTCAGAAGGCTTCTGCAAGACCTTCTAGCCTGTGTGTGCTGCGGCTCATACTACCTGCGTGTTTTCCTCCCACTTTTTGACCACTGTTCCGGGTCACTTGCCGGGATGATTTTGGGAAACCCTTGTTGGTTGGTTTTAAGGGGAAAGCAAAAGGAAAACTCCGAAATCCATTTTGGGGGGTCCACAATTCAAAGAAAAACACACAATTGAAATGATGTCTGCCTGACTGTCTGCCTGTCCCATCCCTGACCCAAGAAAACTGCGTCTCCCGTCACCCCTCAGCGGTCACTGAGCCAGGCGTCCGAAGAACATGGATCCATAAGCCTGAACGAGGATGCCATGTAGCTTGCAAAAGTCCAGCAAAGGCACGCGCTCCTCTCGCAGATCCAAACGGAGAGGCGCTCGAGAACTGCAAAAAGCCGTCCATATTGGCCAACCCAAACCATCTTCCATGCGCGATGCAAGAAAATGACAAGGAGAGAAAGCGCGCATGCGTGCTTGTTGCTTTTCTCTGGCCGCCCTTCCCGGGTCCTGGTAGTTCATGGGGTGCATCTCAATTTGATTCACCACCGGCATGGGGCGATTAAACTTCTGCAGCGCCTCCAAGTGCTTTACCCCAAAGTTGGACACGCCAACCGCGCGGATCTTCCCCGCTTTCTGCATCTGCAGCAGAGAATCCCAAGTCTCCACGATCTTTCCTAACGACAAAACTGGCTGGGAGACACAAATTTGATCCCCCGCAAAGGCGGTGGTTTATTTTTTGCATCGCCTCGTGAAACGTGAAAGTGAGTTGCATTTGGGTGGGGCGGGGGTTGAGGTGATATAAAGATGGTGTTCGAGCTGAAAACAACACCAAGCAAACGAACGCCTTTCCCCTGTCACACGAGCCCTCATGATGACATAGAAGTTGGATTTGCGTCCCCAGATTACGTGTATCCTCGAAGCATGGCATGTAAAGTAAAGTCTCTCTCAGCCTCATCTCAAGATACCTTCCATTTGGTTAAGGCCCCTGGGAAAAAAATATAAATCCAGCTTTAAAACCAACAGGGGAAGATTAAAAAACAAATTCTTAAGAAAATGGCATCTCCGAGAAAATGCCAACACGCTGTGGGGAGATATCAAGAAAATAAAACATACTCTTGCTTGGTATCGCCCAGCCGTTTTCAAGATGCGCTTTGGCGATTTCTAGGGGGCCCTTCCTTGGCTCCGTCTTGCGCTGGTGCTCCTCTTGGGAGGAGTGAATGGGAAACGTGGGAGGAAAACCACTTTCATGGGCTTTGTTACGTTTTCTAAAAAATAATAATAATAATAATAAAAGAAACACGTTAACTTGTGCTGATTCCATGGATTGCTTCTCGGCTTTTCTTCGTCTCCTGTGTTGGGCGAGTGGATGAGGTAGAGATCCAGATACTCCACGCGGAGCTTCCGGAGGCTCGCGCCCAGCGCGGCCTGGGCCGCGTCGAAGCCGTGGTCGGCGTCCCAGAGCTTCGTGGTGAGGAAGATCTCGTCTCTCGCAAGCCCCGAGTCCGCGATGGCCTGGAGAAGGGGAGAACACCCGGGAAAAGGTCGGGGAAACGGATGTAAGGCGCAGAAAGGGAAGCTAAGGATTTCCAGAAGAAAGAAACGGCCAAGCCGCGAGAAACGGATTTAAGCCCGAAAGACCTAAGAATTTCAAGAAGGTGAGAGCCTTTTTGTTGCGGGTTGGGGTAGGAGTTTCGGGTTGGTTGGGAGGGGTTTGGGGGGATTGGGGGGCATTCCCACGCATCCTAGAGAGTTGATGAGGTTGGGCAGGATACCACCCATTCTGGCACCTGGTAACCTGCCCCAAAGTACCACAACGCCCAGTGGCGATGGGAAAAAAAGAGCATGCTTTTTTGGTTGGTTGAGTTTAAAGGGGAACCCTTTCCAAAAAACAAATGAGAAAAAAAGGAAAAAAAGGGCGCCACTGGGCAAGTGGGTTTATTTGACAATGCTCATTGCAAGCGATCAGTTTGCGGAACCACGCTTGCAATATCTTGCAACGAAGCCATGCGAAACTGTATTCGTCTATAAACAAGGGAAGCTTCCCTTCACTGGCGACACGGATGTTTGCCTCCCCAGCAAGTTGGATTTCCAGTGGATAAGGTCACCGCCTATCTCACCCTCAGGAAACTACCTGAGATGTGTGTGTCCTTTCCGTTCCATACATCTCGCGTTTGAAAACACCCAACTTCTTGGGAGCATCAAATCCCAGGCCCTGGCTCGGGCTCGGCGGGCGAAGTGTTCCGTGAGTGAGACCCTTCGGGTGCGTTGTTTTCCCCAGGTGGGTGTGGCAACGTCAAAATTGGGCCAAGTTGGTAACCCCAAAATGGGTGGTTACGTTGACCAGCTATTTTGATGGTCAAAAATGGTTGGTAACCCCAAAATGGGTCGCTCGATCGGCAATTGGAAACAAGGACGACTTGTTTCCTGCAGTCCAAGTCCCGGTGACGACTAATTTTGACCCACACCAAGGTCTTAAGGGCTCCAAAGCCACGCTCCTAATGTCGAACCGGGAATAGTCAACCCCTGTTCATTAATATGGGGGTGTTCCCCTCCAAAAGTGATGAATCCCCCCGCTAAACCAGGGACACCCCCATAGCAATAAACAGGGGTTGATTAATCCGGGTCGACATTATGCTCGAAAGCAAGGCAACCTCATTTTGTGGTTTCTTCGCGCGCCTGGCCGACACTCTCCTCGTTGCCGTAGATGGCGGCCGTGTCGATCATCCTGTACCCTGCCTGGAGGGCCCACTTCACCTCTGGCTGAGAGAAAGTGCCGAACGTTTTGCTTAGCAAAGAGGTGAGACGGCCACGACTTCTTTGCTTCAGACGCAGTGAGTTCAGTCGAGCTTCATTGAAACGGAACCAACAGAGAGCAGCCTTTTTCCGCGCCGCTTACCCCATCGCCTGAATGATTTTCATTCCTGGGCAGCCTTCCATTTAGGCGCTCTTTGGCTGGCATGGGCGACAAAACTATGATTCCACGCAAAAGGTCAGACAAAACTGATTCTACCGTGTCCATTTTTGCAGGTGGTTCTTGTACTTGCCCGGTCTTGTGACAATAGCAAGGGCTGTAAGATGATAGAACCAACAGTCAACAGCTCTGGGGCGCTCAAGTGCAAGGCTCCCTTGTCCAAAGAAACCTCTGTCATATCTTTGCAGGTAGCTCCTGAGATCAAACCTTTCACTTTGCCTTTGCAGGTATACCAGCACCACTATTTTGACAACAGCAACAGCTTGTGGCGGCGTCATGACAATGACTTTGGAAGAACATATGTTGTGTTCAATTAAGCGGAAAGTTTGAAACACGTGTGTATATATATATATATACATACATACCTGTCGTTTACATCCAACTCAACATCACAATTGTGTAATAATGATACATATCTGTTGGTTCTAAAACATGTCCATTCATAATCATATTATGGGCGTGTCTTTGTCCCTAACATGGCGCAATGGGTTTTTCCTTTTGGCTTCCCTTTAAACACCCACCAAAAGGGAGCTTTTCCCTTAAACGAAACACACCCCTATGTGGTATTTGGCTGCGGGTCAAAACCAATGGTACCATTTGGGGTAGGTGGATTCACCACCCATTTTTGTCTGTTTTTAGTGAGGATTGGGATGTTCACTGGGGGTACGATTTGGCTTTTGACCCATGGCCATCTGTCTTCGACTTAATGAAGCCTTGCAGCCGCATTGTAGGTCTCCTCCCCGGGCTGCGACATGTAAACTCCTTGGGGCGTGGAATCGGATGCGCGGAATGGGCCAGTTCCTCTGCGGTTCCCCTTTGAGACCCCAAAAGGAGTTGGGACCCTCAAGAAGTCGGTCGCCATGTGGCAAGCGCCACATCTTGCCACAAAACCAAAACAACAAGGACAAGTGTTGGTTGCCAAAAAGAAGTAGGTCGAAACAAGGGTGTGCCGCATCTTGCCGCCCAACAAAACCAAGAGGACAATTGTTGCTTGCCTACGGGAACTGGGATTTGCTGGGAATGTGAAAATATCAAACTCGACTAGGACACCTCCATGAGTGTGGGGGGAGGTCCTCCTGTTTTGACACATGGGTCTGACCTTTTAATTCGGGACCCTTTGGTGGACATCATTTAGGTGGGGAGCCATGTCCACCCACTTTGGAGCGGGTTCCCTATCAAAATTCATAGCCACATAGCTCCACGTCTTCGACTCGTCAGCCCAGCCGCCGAGGCCCATCACCGGCATGGCCGCTCCGTCGCGCAGCTGGAAGCTGGCGCTGCGGCTCAGCGGTGGCACCGCTGCATAGGGCGGAGTCCCCATGACCGACATCGGCAGCAGCCGGAGCAGGCGGAACATGCCCGCTTGCCGTCCGCTCGCCGGAGAATGGCGCCCAAATTGGGCGCCACTCTGCGGGGGGAGGGGAGGGGGGGGGGGGAATTAATTACACTGGCTTTGAACGGTGCCACTTGTTTTGGATCGCGATGGGGTGCTGAAGAGCATTCTGCTGATTTGAGTGGGTTGGCTTGACTCAACTCCAAGCCGTATCCTTGGCTTTTGAAATGCCCGGTCGACTCGAGCAAGAGAAGCAGTGTGCAGTGTGGTTAACAGGGGTCTAAGTGCCGCCTTACTTGGACTCTCTGGGACAAAGACCGCAGGAGGCGAAGCCCGGCGAGTCGGCCTCTGCTTTCAGCTGCTCATTCTGCTGGGCGACCTGCGGAATGGGTCCCCGTGCTCCGCTCCCGTTGATGCGGGAGAATGCCCTGAGGCATGCGACTTCATCCTCAGTTCTGTGCGCCCGCTTCAATTGGGTGGCTTCTTTCTTTCCTTTCTTTTTGGGTGTCGTGTTGGTGGGTGATAAAGGGAAACCAAAAGAAAAGCCGCTGCCATTTTGCGAGCCCCTGATTTTGAGACACCCGTTGGACGCTGCAGAAGCGCCCCGCCTCCTGCTGCAGCTGTGCTTTGCGCTTGGCAAGGCCTTGATACTGATGCCGGGCGGCCTTCTCAGCCTCCTGCGAGGCGAGCAAGCAGCCGACAGAAGCGAAGTCTGAAACCGTTCTGAGTTGTTCCAAAGCCCGGTGAGTTTCAGTCTTAACGGTGTACCACGAAATGGCCGGCACGTTCCATATCCACAAGGTCAATTTCCAGCGCCCCCCCCCCCCGGTACTGTGTTTTGCCACGTCCAAAATCCCAAGTACTTTTTTTTGAAACACCCAAAATTCGGGGTGCTGATTCGTGTACGCACCTCCGCACTGTACTGCAAGTCAAAAACCAGCAAACGAGCAAGCCCCCATCTGCAAAAAACTCAACGACCACTTCTGGCGGTCCCCATGGCATCTTTCCCGAACAGGTCGCCCGAGCTCCGATTTTCCAATTTGTTTTTCGGGATTCCCCAAAGCTACGCTAGAGAGCCTCGGCCTTCTGTGTGATGGCCTTCTTTTCCTGCAGCCTCAGCTTTTGCGGGACTGGAATCCCCTGAAAGGTTACCCATTCTCGGCTCAGCCGGGAAGGCCAGCCGTAAGGATACTAGAATTTGCTCAGTTTAGGTTTTCATGGGTGGGTCACTTTTTGAGGGTACCTTGCTTTCTGTGGTTTTCAAGGAACCAAGAAAAAAACAACCATCTTGGGGAGCACCCCAAAAAACAAACACCCCCATCTGCGGGCCACCGTCCAAACTCGGCACAGGCCCCGGGTGGTAGACAAATTGAGAGAGGTCGCCGTGTCCCTCTCAATTTGGCCATAGACTGGATGATTTCACCTCACTTCGCTATGGCAGTGTTCAGAAGTCAAGCTGTGCGCTTAGGCTGTTGCCTATGGCACCGTTCGGTTTATGAGGCTGCAGCCGCGAGCGACAAATCAACCCAAGAGAGATGCCCGAAAACATGCCCACGGAAGCACAAAAGATGAAGACACCATTGGGAACGGCACCCTCTCACTTCCGAAGGGGGATTGGCCAAAAGGAGTCCAAACTGCTTGTTTACCGCCAAACTGGTCCGGGACTAAAGTCCGAAACGGAACTCAGGAAGTGAGTCCAATTACTAAGCCGGCTGACCCAACGACCCCTGGGCAGCCAGGCATCTTTCGGAGTTCGCTGCTGCGCTGCCTTCCCCAAGAGCAAAGCAGCGTGCTTTCGGTGGCCACTTAGCGTCCCTCGGGTCATGGGGATCATTGCCCCGAAGTTACAAGCATAGTCCCAACCCGGAAACATACTCACGGATATAAAGCTGTTGCAGTCTCTTCGGACTTTTTCCTTGGAGGGGGTCATCTTCCATGATTTTCTGTTTGAGCTGGCATATTCTTCGTTCACGCGAGCTCGGTAGATGGCTCTTCTGTGAAGCCAAAGGCTTAACTTGACCTCATGCGCATCTTGCAACCAGCTCAATGGATGTCCTAAGGTTTGGCTCGTCGCGTTCAGCCCGCCGTGCTCAGTGAACTTGCTTTGCCTGCGTTTCCGCCTGGGGATAGAGCCAAGAACTGGCTTTGTGGAAGATTTGTGGAACCAGCTACAGCGTTTTCCGACTTTGCGTTTTCGGGTGTGTAAACCATTCTGCAATGGCTCCGGGTCTGCTCAGGGAACAATAGCAAAGCAGACTTGAATTGTCAGTAAAGCGTTTGTTCCGAGAGGACAGCATGAGATGAGCCAACTCTTTCATTCAACGGTGTGGCAATTCTCATGTGTCTTCCTTGAATTCAAACGCGGAAACCCACGCATTCCGTTGAATCAGGGTAAGGAGCCCAAATCCTCGGGGGAGAAAAGGAAGAAGAAAAAACCCGGAGCGCGCCTCAGCTCCGCCAGCCGCGAGCTGGCGCTGGCCTCCTTGCCGCCCTCCTCCTCCACACGCCTCCGCTTCTTTTCCGGGTGGCGCTTCTTTTCGCGTCTCGCGGCGCGTCTCGCGCCGCGTCTCGCGGCGCGTGAGACGCGGCGCGTGGGCTCTGCCCGTTTTCTCCAAAACCTCGAAGTTCGATGTGGCCAGAAGAAAGACGTCGTGCTTCGAAGCTTCCAGGAACTCGAGTGGGAACAGCAACAAAAGAAACAGCAACACAAGAAGAGCGCTTGTTGCTTCCTTGTTTCCTCCTTGAGTTCCATGGATTTCCTGAAACAGTCCCAAGTCCAGGAACTCAAGGAGTGAGCTGAGGGGTAACCCGAGGGTTCCTTGCCACCATTGAAGGAATGGCCCAAGGGGACCCAATTTAGATGATGACAATCCTCAAGTTGCGAACCATGGTGGTTGTAGCAACCCCCTTTTTGTTTGAACTATGCAGTTTGAATCCCGGGGGTAATTTATTAATTTGGGGGCTCACCGGTTCAGGGGAAAAACAAATTCCAGGAACGGAGGCTGAACCCCTTTTGGTAGCAATTGCCCGTTCCCCTTGCAGATCTTCGGTAACTCGCAACTTGAAACCTTTGTGGGTGTCCAAACGTCCGGTGGCCCACGCAGTCGCTGCTCAGATTTCTACAGTTACCACTCCCAGTTCCAACCTGAAACTAAACCAACCCCAAACCCCACACTACACCAACCCCAACTCCCTGAAAAAACCCTCTCCCCCAACCCCATCCCCAACTCCCACTAACAAAATAACCCCTCAGCCCCGTCCCCAAACCCTCAATCCCAGTCTCTCGCCTCTGCAGATGCTTGGCCTTCTGCGCCGCCCGAGCCTTCTCCTTCTTCAGCTCCGCCACCCTCTTCTGTAGGCCCTCCAATTCGAGCCGCGCGCGAATCGCGAGCCGCCCAGCGAGCGCCGAGTTGGCGGATTCAGCTTGAGGAGATGTGTGGCTCGCCCTTTTTTTCCGTAGGGACACCCCCAAAAATGGCGGTCTTCGGTGTTCTTGGTGTTCCCGCCTTGGCCTCCCTTCAACAAAAGGATCGGGACCCTCAAAAAAAAACGACACACCCATACTGTGGCACCTTCAGGAGTTCTTTTAAAGCACCCCGAAAACGCGGGAAAGACCTATGGGTCTGTCTCCAACTCGGCAACCTCCGCATGCTTTGTTTTGTTGTTTCGGGACGTGAAGGAAGTCCAACGAATGTTGAGAAATGCCCGGTACGGCCAAAACTCAGCTTGCCCCGAAGGAACCTTATGGCTGTCTTGCTTTTCGTGTGGCGGATTCCCATCAAGGTAGAGAAGCCTTCACCATGGGTTTAAACAATTGGGCGACCCCACGTGGCCACAGGTTCCTTTCACCTTGCCTCTGAATTCTATCCAAAAGGCTCCCAAGGTGCAATTCTGAGAAAGAGTGCTCGTGTTGAGTCGACCCAGGCTGTGTTGGCTGTGCATTTTCCTGCACTGACCTCAGAATGACTAAAACGTCTACCTCACCTGGAGCTGCCCCAAACCAATCTCGTCGCAACTCCGGGAAAAAAGTGACAAAAATAAACAGAAAAAAAGGAAAAAAAACGGCGGCCGAGCTCCGAGCCAGCGGATTCGGGTCCCCCAACTCTTCGGCTTCCTATGTCCAACTGCCCCAGCGGTTGGAAACGGGCGCACCAAATCGAGCCGAAGGGCCGGGGCGGAAAGCTCCACCCCGCCTCCCCACTGAGCTCCGGCTCCGGCGCTGCCTCCGAGAACCCGACCAACCGAGCGAGCGACTCGGCGGGCCAAGGGGCAAGGGCTTCGGGCGAGTCGAAGTTACACCCAGGCAAACAGCGAAGCCAGAGGTAGTTCAGGCAATAAAAACCTGGACACTCAAACTACCACTAAAAATCGGGGAACTCACCCCCCGTAGTTTTGGGCAATCACCTATCCCTAGGATCCACAAACCTTCTTAAATGTGCGTTCTTTGGGGTTCAAAACCCTCGTATTTAGGGTCCAAGGCGCTCCTAGGGCATGTTTAAGTTGGCCTTTTGAGGCTCCAACTCTCATCACGAAGGCCTTGGCGGCCTTTGGCTCCTTCTCCGGCGTGCTGGCTCGCTTCTCCTTCTCCCGCTGGCGGCCTAGGTTCTTATTTCTCGGTTGCCCTGACCTGGAAATAGAAGATGAGATCACCTTTCCGGACCTCAACCATGGTGGCCATGTTTAAGGAAACCAAAAGGTCCTTTAGGTCGATTCGCTTTTCTGCAAGTGAGACACTTCGTCTACGGGAACTCGGAACTCAGTACTAGTAGCTTGCGCAAGCGCAACCAGTCCTATGTGGCTCGTTTTTTTTAAAGGATTTGGAGCCCCAAAATGGACTTCGAATTTCTCTTGGGTTCACCCACGGCTCAGAATGTGCCTGTGTTTCTGTAATCCCATTCTATGTGCCCGGCTCTTCTTCTCGCGCCGCTTCTCTCGAGCCCTGATTGGCTCGAGCAAGGAAGCCGGGCGGAATGAGTCAGGCATCCGTGTTAAACAATGCTCAAAAGCAAATGTTGCTTCAAAATCCGCAGGGATTGCTGTCCCTTTCAAAGCACGAATATGGTTTTTTGTTGCCGTGTTTGTGAGAAACCTCGGGTTTCAGAAACAAGAAACTGCGCTTGCCCCGCCTGTTCAACTTCGCTTGCTCCGCTTCCTCCTCGTTGAGCAGCGCTTCCTCATCGCCAAGGTTTGCTGGAGCAGATTCCCTGCGTGGCAACTATATTTTACCACCCATGGCAATCACTGACACCCCGGACCAACCCAGACCAACCCTCAACAACCCACACCCACACCGACCCAGCATGACTTCGTGCACAAACCTGCCTCTCAGAAACGAATGCGCACCAAACCACGATGGAAAGGTACCCACTTTCGCCCGTGAATGCCACCTCAGCGCCACACCGCGGCAGCACTCTCTTGTGGCTTCTCAGCCTCTAAGGCTCACCGCCGGACAAAAAAACAACATGGCAGGTGGTTTCTTCATTCCTTTCGGGACACCTCCTTTTGAACACTACCCCAAAAGGTGTGTCTTCGGTTTCCTTGTGGTCCTTACGGTGAGCTTCCCTCGACTCTCGGTGGTGGTTTGGATTGGTGGGTGGGTTCGGGGGATTCCCATGTGGCCTCGGCAGAGTCTCAGAGGTTCAACGCCAAATCCACCAATCCAAGCCACCAATTGGGGGATACCTGAATCAGGTACCCCTTAGTTGGTGGATTGGATTGGTGGTTTGGATTTGGACTTGAACCCCGGGCTTTTGTAGATGGTGAAAGGGAACCATGAACCAACTCTATCCGCCAATCGAAACCAATAAAAATGGAGGTTGCTCCTCCCCCCCAAGCAAACAAACACACAAAAACAGACGCCCAGAACCTCCCTGGGATTCCATTCGCGTTGGCGTGATGAGGGGTTCTCCTCCTCCCCCCCCAAAAAAAACAACAACAACAACAACGAAAAAACGAAAACAGACGCCCCAACCCGCCCAGAAAAGCCCCTCCCCCTCTCCCTCCCCCTCCCTCCCTGCCGCCCCCCCTGCCGGAACCGAAGACCAAACTCTCCCCAACGCCACCTCGGCCAGCAGCGCCGCGCACTCCCGCCCCGCGCGCTGCGCCAGCGCGTGGGGCGTGGCGCCTCGCTCCGCTTCGCTCCGATTCGCTGGCGTCGGTTTTCGTCGGTGTTCGCCGTGCGTTTTCGACCCGTCTGCAGATGTTTGCGCTAGCATCCTGCTTCAATATGTATATGTATAATGTATATACAGACGTGCGGATGAGCTTTGAACTGCGTCCTTTGCCGCAGAAAAAAGAGAGAGCGCCATGAAAACAGGCGCCTTCTGCAGACAGAAGGGTTTTTGGAACGATAGGTGCTGTTTTGGCTTCTGTGGAAGGAGCAAGTGCCGGAGAAAGGGAACTTGGCTGAATGGCATGGAGAATCTGGGAGAAAAAAGACAGGCTACCATTGAAACAATTGGCTGAATATCGCCACCATTGAGTTCAAGATTGTCATCACCTAAATTGGGTCTAAATTGGGTCTGCTTAGGCCATTCTTTTCATGGCAGTTAAACGCTAGGGCAGTGGTATGGCGAACAACCACTATAGCATACAGTTAACACACAATTGGACATGTCTCAGAAAAATGGGTCGGCCACAATTGGCGTTCCATGTGAAAACTGATTGTTTCTCACTACACGAGCATGCGCCCCAAGTCTTCCTTCTGGCACTCCTAGTTGTCCTGTGTGCGCTTCTGTGTTCGCTGGTTGCGTAGGAAACAGTCCCCAGCAGGTTCCCTCCAACACAGCTTCTCAACCCTTGCTACGCTAGCAACAGCGCGGTGGTTCCCCCAGAAGAATCAGTAACCATAAAACACAGAAGCCAAAACAAGTACCCACACACAACAACGGGAACACAAATGAAAACAACAATAAACATTATTCCGTTCGTGTTCCCATTGCTGTGTGGTTACTTCTTTTGACTTCTTTAAAACAAAAACTACCAAACTGCTGAAACAAACAGGAAAACAACAAACAAAACCACGGCTGAAAATGGAGAAAGAAAAAAAGCGACAACGACAAAGATGATGAGAAGAATTGAAGCCAGGTCCTTCGCTTCCCTCGCCTTGCGCGTTCCGCACCATGGGATCCGCTCGGCCCTCCAGGAGGACTTTGACCACCTGCGGGTTAAGGCGTCCAATTCAAACCGAAAGCCCCAGGGTTCAAGCGTCAATTTCTGGTTGGTTCCTTTTCCATTCTTGTCCGCCATTCTTCTCAAAAACCGGCCGTTTTTTTGAGTGTTTTCTAGAAAGAAGGATCCCTGGGAAGCTAAGCCTAGATCTTTAAAAGAACGGCCTTGGGACCAAAATTAGATGATGATGATCCTGAAGGGTAAAAAATGCGGTTATAGTACCCCAACCATTTTTTGAATGGTGGTTTGAATCCGAAAACAAGTTCCCCTTCCCCCCCCCCCCGGCCCAAAAGAAGTTGGTATAAGCCTTCATTGGCATGGACCCTTTGGCCATCATTTACATGAAAGGATGTCCGAGTTTCATGTCCCAGCAGTTGCGAGGGGTCTCAATAGAACTTCACAGCACAGGAAGGTGGAAGTGGACGGAAGTCTGAAGAGTTGGAGCCGTGGAACCGCAAGGCGGACGTCTCGGGGTTGGGCGTTCGCTTGCCAAATCGATGCCAGCCGTGCTACCTGCCTCTGTCCTACGGATCGACAACAAAGCGCCTGGTTCCTTCCCGCCGCGTCGGTGGTTCCTGTTGTTCTTGAAACAGAACCCAAAAAGAGGTACCCTCAGATCAGACACACCCTGCACTGAGAATGGAGAACACTTTGCTGAAATGCCTCAGCTTGCTACTTAAAGACACACACACACACAAACGCACCAGCACCCCCCAACCACTGCTTTTTGGTTGCCGTACAAAACGAGATCTTGGACATGGGACACAGCGGTTGTTGAGTCTCAGCAGGGAATGAGTTGGAATGACCCCTATAAACCCGGAAGGTCATTCCCTACCTATCGCACCAGCAAGCTTCTGTTCGGGCTGGTTTGTATGCCTGAGACTGGAAATGGGTGTGTCTTAAAACAAGGGAACCCAGACTGATGCAATGCAATGCTCCTTCTGGTTTCCCTTTCAAACCCTACAAGGGCCCTCCTCCCTTTTCCACAAAAAAGATCCAATTTTGATGATCTGCGGCAAATAGCCGTGGAAAAATCTGCAAACCCCGAAAAGAATGTCCCACTACTCTAGGGGTTGATTCCCCATTCTTTTCAACCATCGTTCTTTTCAAAAACCAGCTGTTTCCCGGAATGTTTGATGGCTTTCTGGAAAAAAGGATCCCTGGAAAGAATGGGGAAGGTAGCCCTAGAACTACTCAAGAGTTCTAGTCCCCATAACTTCAACGGCCGGCCGGCGGCCTCCCGCAGACCGCTGCGCGCCGCCCCGTGCAGCGCGGCCTCGCCGGCGCTCTGCGCCTCCGAGAGCGATGCGCGGAGCCGCGGAGGATGGGGAGGGTGGGGGGGAAGGTGGGAGGAAGGTCGGAGGAAGGTGGGAAGAAGGTGGGAAGAAGGTGGGAGGAAGGTGGGAGGAAGGTGGGAAGGTGGGGGGAACAGCTACCACGGGTAGGGGGGTGAGGGGGGGTCGCCTTTCTTTGATTTGGCCAAGGGGATGTGGTCTGTTGGCTAATGGGGGGATCAACACAAACATTGTTGCTTCGCTTGTCGATGGTTGGGAAGGGAGAATCGACTCAAAAACAACGTTACACATGGCGAACAATTTGGCAGCCTGGTTTCTCTACGCCGGAGTCTTTTGTCGGACACATGGCGAACAATTTGGCAGCCTGGATTCTCTACGCCGGAGTCTTTTGTCGGGCTTGGAGATGAGTCCCCAACAAAGAACGCTTTGTGCTGGACGTGAAGAGGACCGGCTTTTGGGTGAACCACTGACCAGATCCCACAGAAACCTCTTCTCCACTGCTCCAATACCCACTGCACTGCGGACTCCACTCCGCTAGCCAGGGATCTGCAACTCACGATGCCATGTTTGACGCCCCATGCGCTTCGTCTAATACTCTCTTCAAACCTCTGAAACCGGCAGCGCACCAGGCATTTAGGCATTTAGGCACTCTGCCATGTGTTCTGCGCTCAAGCCTCCCATGTGGCCCATGGTCGCGGGCGTCTTTTCTTTGAGCATCCTTGTCATTGTCTTCATTGCCCATGTGCGGGTCCATGACTATCCATACCACTCCAAAAGGGTGTGACCGGTGCATGTGAAGGGCTAGCCTGAGCATATGTATGTCTACATGTATACATATACCTATCTGAACATAATAAAGTAATACACTATAATATAATATAACATAACATACCATGGCATGGCATAACATAACATAACATACCATGGCATGACATGGCATAACATAATATATCATGACATAACATAACATAACATAATCTAAAATGACATAACATACCATGACACGACATGACATGACACAATATAACATGGCGTAACATACCATGGCATGATATGACATAACATACCATGACATGACATGACATAACATAATACAACATGACATAACATAACATAATATAATATGATAAGACACGATTTAACATGACATAACATAACATAAGTTAATATGATAAGACATGATATAACATAATATGCTACAATATAATGTATATATATATATATGTAAATTGCCGGTCCTCGCTTCATGGGAAGTTCGCTCCGTCGGTGCCGTCGCCTCGATGTTGGCGCTGTGGCTCAGCAGCAGCTGCACCGCCTTGGCGGCCGCCTGGCGGTCGCTTTTCCGAAGGCGGTGAAGGCGAAGGCGTCTGAAACGAAGTTATTTTCCACTAGGTCCCATGCCTCGCCCCAGGGAGAGGAAGGGAGGGAGGGAAGAGAAACAAGGACAGCAAGACTGAGAGAAGACAAAGAGGAAGACAACTAGGTCCTCCAGATTTGAGAGGTTCGAATAAGTTGGTACCCGTTTTTTTCTCGGTTTTGTCTATTTGAGTCGGTTGGAACCCTCCCAACCAAGAAAAAGTACAAGAGTACTACTGGGGGAATTAGATGTGGACTTGTCACATGGGCCTTTTGATGGGTGTGGTTTCAATGAAATAGGTGGGGTCCACTGGGTCCTTTTGATCGATCTGATTGGTTGGTTTGGGCAATGAAACACTCTTGATCGCTTGGTTTCAATGAAATAGATGGGCGAGCCACTGGTTTAGATTGAGGGTTTTCTTCGCCCCATGCCAACCCGCCGATGGTTTGAAGCCCAAACCGGTGGTTCGGAGCCCCAAGCCACAGGTTCGGAGGCTGAGGTTTGGCCTTTTGTTCGGGTAAAAGAGAAAAACCCATCCAAACTTGAAGAGTCCGACCTATTTTCGGAGCCACGTGGATTACTCACTGCGAGCAAGGCCTCGCTGTCGGGTCACGCAAATCCTGTGGGGCCGAGCAGATTGCAGCTGGGGCACACCGCACTCGGCTCTTTTGTCGCGAGTCCAAGGGAAACGCCGCACAAACCGGTGGGATGGCTTAAGGACGGGGTGCACCAGCCCTCCCGGCTAGTAAACCACCCAGGGCACGGTGGAAGTGCACAGATCGATTCGCGAGGCGTCTCCTGATTCATCGGTGCCGAATCAGAGCCATGCGGACTGAAAGCGGTCTGAATTCCTGTGCGATAGAAGCTCCGGCACTGAGATCAAGATCTCTAGGGTACCAAAGCCCCCATGAAAGAGAATGGCAACCAAGGGGTCCCAACTCTGATGAGGACAATCCACGGCAAACAATGGGGGTTATGGCAACCCATTGTTTGAACGCTGGCAACTTTTTTCTAGGGTCTTGGGATGCTGCCTGGCTGAAAAACCGGCAAACAGGCTCCAGTGTCCCCTTCGGGCCAAGAGAAGTCACTTGCAACTGGCTTTTGGCGACCGCATCCAAACCCAAAACCTCCAGGGCCGGATCCAGGGCGGTGTCTGCGAACAACGAATCCAGTTCAAAGCTCATCCAGCCTGGAAGGTTGGAACCCATTTGCACAGCGTGTGTGAGTGTATATATATATATATATATATGTATGTATGTATATAAATATATGTATATATATATATATGTGTATAAATATGTATATATGCGGCAGGCTATAACCATAGTTCGATCTTGTGTGTTTGCCATAACGGATATGGCAAAGCGATTGCTAGCTCCTCCCTCTCTCAAGCGCTGTCAAAAACAGCATCCGGGCGCTCAAAGCTGCTTTGGAGGGGGGCAAAACTGAGTCCAGCTTGTTAACTCCCACAAGCCCAAATGAAGCAATCGCCAAATTGGTTGTGATCCCGAAGTCAGAACCTGTGGAGGCAAATCTGTGACCGTGCAAATGTTGAAAAAGCAGGCGTGAGCATGCATCCAAACGTATTCACGCGGTCAGCCTCAGCCGCCTTTTTTGGTTAGCTAGCGGAGCAAGCTGCTAGGTTCGCGTAGTGGGGCCATACCAACAACAAGTGAGCCTACAATCAAAAGCCGGTAGATGAAAGTTCGTAAGGGATAGTCCGGCCTAACCGCAAATGGCTGCAGCCGCCCTTTTAAATCTTTACTCGTTCTGGGTACACCATTTTGATACCAGGTGTCCATTAGGATTTGAGTGTTGCATGGGCAGTCCACTTTGAGTTTATTCCTTCGCGTCGTCAAGCAAAATTCCCTTCTTGAGGGGGACATGTCCGCTTCAGTAGGGTCCTGACCGGTTTGACAGTGCCAGAGGTATCGATTCCGGAGATTCCCCTAGCCCGACTTTGGCTCGTGGAAAGATTCTGGCATCCAAAACAGTTCCGGACATGACGAACCATTGAATCAGTGGACCATGAACATCTCCAATTGACTCGAAAATGCGTTTCTCCGCGAGCCAAGCGAGGATTGGAGCGGCCTCTGTTGCCTTTTGCCGGCGAAGCCTCTAGTGACAGCGGAGCGAAGACGCCAACGAACCCAGCTCGACAAGGCCCGTTGAGTGAGTCGCAAACCCTAGTCACGTCAAAGTTCACCCAACCGATGGTGAAGATCGAATCTCACTTGTCTCACTTGTTCAGTGGGGTCAGGGACCGCACACCAAACTGCCCATGTGCCAACGTGCTGCAGACCTGGCTCCATGGCAGACCCGTGGGGATCTGGATGGAGCTATAGATCAACCCGTTACTCTGACCCTCGGGGCTCTCCTTGGGCGCTGATCCCCCATCAAAAAGTTGCTTATGCTGGTTAAAAGGAAGTATGAGGGGAATCCAAGTAAAGTCGGAGAAGATCCAAGCCAACAGTAGAGCTTATGGCCCCAGACCTCCATCCCCAAGAATCCGATGTCCTATCCTAGTGTGACACTTGCGAAGTTTCCGCGCGGAGGCCGATCTCCGGGTCAGCGGAGCTGTACAAATGTAACCACGGCTCGGGCTCTCGGACAATCTCCGCTCGGCGATGTCACGAACGGAATGATTCCGCTCGTGTCTCATGGAAGAGTGCTGCACAAAAGACTTCAAGGAAATCGATCTGCAATTCATGCGCCCGACCCTTTGCGAAGAATCAACGGAAGATTGGTCAATGGGACATAGCCACAGTCTCCACGTCAATGCTCTTCCAGGAAAAGCAAGCGATTGAGTCTAAATCTCAATGCCTAAAGTAAACGTGGTTGCTGTTGACCCCTCTGCAAGAAGTGAATAACTTGAAGTGGGTTCAATGGAAAACTTGTTGATTCCCCCAAAGTAAAAGTCTAAAGATTCCACCCACCAGCACAGTAAATGAGTCCGTCTTGATCAGAGTCATGTGCCGAGCGAAGGAAAAACCATCGGGCAAAACCGGCAGGGACGAAGTACTTCAACCTTTGGGACTTTCTTTGGAACTGGCTGTGTCCTTGTTAGACCCCAAATATGTGGGTTGCTCCTTTTTTCGGCTCCCTTTAGACCAACCCAACAATTTGTTGGGTACCCAACCAAAAAACGACACACCCACTTGGATCTTGTAAAAGTGAAAGTCTCCCCGCCGCAACACGATGCCCCTCTTCTGGCATGCCCTGGCACCATCAACGCCCTTCCCTGCATATTGGAAGGATCCGGCAAGCGATGTGAGCTGCGCCGCCCAAGAAACATGGGTGTCGCTCGGTCACCGCCCAAAAAGAGAAACCACGAGGACAAGAGTCCCACGCAACGCAACATCACGTTTGCGAACCCAGGGCGCCCTTCCTGCTCAAACGGCTACTTCAAACTATAGTATGACTATAGATGCAAGTGCGAAGTACGTAGTATATATATATATATATTATACACACGTGCAGAATACGTGTGTGTATGCATGTATGTAATACTATGTTATAATATGTATATATAATATAATATATATATATATAATAAACTCTATATATATATGTCACTTGGCTCTGGGCATTTTGGGCCGCCCTTTGCAGCGCGGAACTTCTCGCCGTCGCAAGGGTCTCGGTCTCTCACGGCTCCTGCGATTCGGGTCTCTCTGAAACGGGGCCAAACCCAGCCGGGCAGGCTAGACAGCTGGTTCAGGTTCAGCGCACCCCCAAGAACTGCTGTTTCTTATGTTCAAAATTACGGATTTGTACGGTATCCAAAAAGCTGCTTGGGGGTTGCTGGGCCTATCTAATTCTTGTTAGCATCCTTTTTCCTTTGCCCTTGGAGAGCGAATTGCCACTGGGATTGGAGAATGATTGCCCACCAAGCGAGACTCCACTACAAGGGTTTTTGGGCTTGTGGATGGTTAAGAGAACCCACCAAATGGCATCATGTTGACCGCTTCAGCGCCCAGACTCTGCCCCATCCAATTGCAGTCATTTCCAGGGTTCGATAAACTTTCGTGCACAACGAAGCAAGCCCAGCGTTAGAATTGAAGGGGCTTTCATGGATCGCTTCGGGAGTTGCCATCAGGACATCCTAGCTTGATGCAGCTTGATGCTGCAAGGGTCAACGGATCAGGCGGTCTGGGTCCCAAAAAAAGTGATCAGAGTAGAGTCTTGCTGCCTGAACCGTTCATGTCAAAGCTCCATCTGCCCCGAAATCCCGGATCAAAAGTGTGCGCAGAAGTGTTTTCTTTTTGTGAGGGAAAACATATTTTGAAGGGAAACCCCAACCTGCTTTCTGGGACCCGTGCAAAGTGGGGTAAATCAGGTTGAAGGGAAACCTTCAAGGGGAGTCATCCGCCTTGGCGCCCGGTTCCCCATTCGGCGACCTGTCCTCAAGCACCGCCCAAGAAGCTTTGGTGGTACGGTGAAGCCGCGGCAGAGGGTGCCGTCAGCACAGCGAGCACCTGTGCGATGCGGATCATGAAACTTAGCTGTTGATCATACAAAACTGGGGGTGTCTCTTTAAGGTTGGACTCCCCAAAATGGCGCCACGGTGATCCTTTGGTTTTCCTTGAAAACCACAAAAAAAAAGGCACCGTCAAGAAAAACAAGCACACACACACGAGTCCCTTGCAGCATCCTTTTAGGGAGGAAGCTGGTGTGCAACTTGACCCTTTTTAATCAAGGGGATTACTCGACCAACCACAACCCCCAAACTGAGGGAAATTGCTGGGTCGATAAATGGGAACCCCCGATTAATCAACCCGTCCCATTATTAGGCGGGGGTTGGAAGAGGTAAGTTTTCCTGCTGGGGAAGCGAATCCCCTGTCCACTTCCATTGAACTGAGGGTGCGCAAAAAAAATGACAGCTAAACGAAGAAATCTGTTGATTTCCCAAGGGAACCGGAAAGTCCACCATGGAAACCCTGCACCCACATGGCCATGGGTGTGTCTCCGAA